CCCTTACCATGCTATAACTTCATAGACGTTTTCGTATTTTTCAGTTTCTTTGGTGTAAACTAAGATGAATACCAGGGCAGTTCTTTTCATCGGAGAAGTCCCCGCAGTCATTGGCCCCATCGCACTGCCAGGTGAGGGCGTAGCAGAGCGTAGTGAACTCACACTTTTGAAACGTCACGCTCTTCACTCCCAGACGGAAGTAAGAGGAACAGTCCGTCGGAGCTTCACAAGGAAAAAAGAAAAAGCAAAGCTTTCTGTGCAACATGCTGATTTTTGCATTAAAACCAAATAGTCAGAGTGAGCTAAACGGAGGAACTTACGGCAGTTCATCTCATCACTGGCGTCCTCACAGTCAACCTTCTGGTTACACTTGCTGGAGTTGGAGATGCAGCTTCCGTCTCTGCACTGGAATTGATCGGCTGAACACAGCGTGGCTGACAGACATGGGAGGAAAAGACAGTGTTCAAGTCATGAGCATGAAGTCTTCCAGTTCATTTTTACAATTGTTTCAAGCAGCTAAGCCATCATGCAGTCCTCTAAAAAGATTTTGATCAACAGCTCTACCTATTTTCTGAAAGTAGCATAAAGTAGACTCACTGTTGCAGAAGATTTCATCCGAATTGTCTCCACAGTCATCCTGCCCATTGCACCAGGAATTATGCCCCACGCAGCGTCCATTTGCACACCGCCTGTAGCCCTTCTTGCACACGCGATTAGCTGAGATCCAAAGACATATATGAAATTACAAATATCAGGAATAAAAAAAAGGAAAATGTCTTACAGAGGGAAAGATTGTACTCACCACAGTAGGACTGTTTCTCGTCGGACTTGTCTTTGCAGTGAGCCACGCCATCACAAGTCTGAGTGTAGTTGACGCAGTCTCCGTTTCCACACTCAAACTCATCGACGCCAGTACACGTGGAGTTGACGCCTGAGGCAGAAAAAGAAACCAGCAGAAATGAAACACAAAAAATTTAACTGAAACAAAAAGTATAGCTCTAAACTTCTATTTCTTTATTTTTATTCAAAATGGAAACTGTTTTGTTGGGACTATTATATCTTCAACTGCTAGCTTTTCCATTGGTTGTGATTTTTTTAAGTTATGATCAATAAGCAGAAGAGAAAGATGAGCCGATACCAGAAAACATTCTCCTGAAATAAAGTCTTGTAAACACTGATGTTAGGCTAGATTTGGTCTTAATGAATGTGGTTCTGCTTGTACCAGTGCAGGTGTTGTCTTCCAGAAGCTTTCGGTCGCCTCGGCAGCTGCAGGTAACTCTTCCTTCAGAGCTCAGCAGACAGAGGTCCTGACATCCTCCGTTATTGAAGCGACACAGAGAGAACTCACCTGTTAGAATATTAGGATGTTAGAAACACACAATGCCACACATGATACTTAGAATTCAGTGAAATTGATGACAAAACACTTCATCAAATAATAATCATACAGGATCCCAAGAGGAAAGCCTTGATTTTTCTCATGCACAAATATTGAGCCTTAAGCTGCAGATTTCTATAGGTACCTAAATTATTTTATTTCAAATCACTCTATCTAGATAGTTCTATTTCACACCACATGCCATCTTTACAAGAACAATTCCATTAAAGAATTCACACAGAAAGCTAAGGAAACCTTCTATCTGGAATGAAAATTAAGAAAATCTTAACCAGACTTTTTTATAGAATAGGTTTAAGATAAACAATCAGTTTGTTTGACTTCAGATTTCCATATAAATATGTCAGTTACTGAATAAATCAAATATCCCTTTACTAAAACATTTAGAAATTTAAAGACAATATTTTAAAAGTGAAACATGTCACCAGAGGTATCTAGCATTGATATTCTGTTATTTTAACATAATATCTAGACCCCTAAGGAAATAATATTGTTTTACAAATTAAAGAGTAACTAAACCAGATGTAAAAGTATAACTCTGCCAAGAGATATTTTGGAAAATGTCACCATGGCTAACTACGGGGATGATTGCAGGGAGTTAAGCTGGGCTGTGGTTCAGATAAGATGAAGAGACAGTAAATTGAATATGACTAAATAATGGAAGGAGTAATAGGTAGTAAAAATGCACACCTGGGAAAAGCAGTTGATCAGTGCTCACTATTGCAGCAATTCTAACCCCTGAGTCACTATATGGCGTGTTCAAATGAGATTTATGGTGCGTTCAATTAATACTCAGAAATCATGGAGAGCAGTGTTTTGGTCATAGTTACGGTTGTAAGAGTCCTTCATAGCCATTTAAAATTATATAGTGATTACACTGATTAAATGTAATTGAATTAAAGAATGGATTTGTTAGAGCGAGATTGTATACTGTAATACAAGGGGACCTTATCTAGGACCTTGCCTAGACATCTTTATCCTTAGGGGTTAAAAATATTGGGCACCCTTCATAAATTTAGTAATTAAACTAAATAAGCACTAAAATGCTGCTGATTTCATGAGTAGATAAAAATTGGCATTTATCAGCTTTTTATTCTGCTCTCAGATGTGGTCTCCCCTCCCCTCTGGAGAAGCAGGAAAGTGTCAGCCTCTATGAGAAAATGTGAAGATATGAGCCTCAGTCTGTTGAAGTAAGCAGCAAGAAGGTAGAGCCCATAATGGATAACACTGCAAAATACGTCATTTCCAGTGATGTTAAACCTCTTATGGGATCTCTGGAGCAGGGGCGGATCATGAAGCGGGTTGCTTGATGCTGATTTGCCAACATAGTTAAGGATTTTTGACTGCCGGGGGCCAGACAGTGAGAAGGTTTTCCTCATGAGAGGGAAAAGTGATCATTCAGTCAGAACTGTAGTCTTGTGCTGAACTCTTGCAGTAGTTTCTGGAGTTTATTATTTTAAGAGAGCTTCACTGCAGCTATTTCACCAGTGATGTATTTGATGTGTTTTCTACATTTAATTCAATACGTGATGTTTGGATTTAATTAACACCATTGAGCCTCCCCTGTTTCAGAGAGCAGCAGTAGCCACTACCTGCAGGTAATTCTTGCATCCTTCTTTAGATTTACTTTTCACTCGTAGACAACAAAATCAATCCTTTCCTGTTTTTATCTTGTGGTCTTTCATTGAAAATATACATCCAGACATGGCAAGAGTGATTAGCAAAGACAAACCTTTTTTTGCTGAATTAATATATCATAATATGAACAAAAACTGTACCTAGATCAGACATTGACGTGCATTACACCCTTTAGAGCATCCATGCAAAGAGCTGCAATCAATAGTAACACAATCCCTCTCAGCAAATCCCACATCTCACTGAACCCAGACTTACAACTGTTGGTGTCATTGGCCACAGCGACAATACCCATGGGCTGCTGGGGGATGTCAGCACGCAACACCTTCATTTCACCACCAGTGTATTTGTCAGCCCTAAGCACAGCCCTCCTGACCCAGTCTGTCCAGAAGATGTAGTCTCCGTATACAGCCAGGCCAAACGGATGAACCGGCTCGTTCTTTAGCACCACCTAAGGAAGAAACAGTGATTCATTGGTGTGTAAGAAAATCAAAGGCACATTAAACCACTATTATTATTATACCATTAGCACAGCCAAACTATTTTCTGATATCTTTCTTACGTATCTCCGGCTGCCGTCATACTCGCAACGCTCAATCTTGTCAAGAGTGGCATCCGAGAAATACAGCTTCTCAGCTCGGTGGTCGATGGCCAACCCGTTGGGGGTTCTGATATGTGTGTTAATTATCACCAGGACGTTTGAACCTGCTAGTGTTGCACGCATGATGCTGGGAGACTGCTCATTCCAATTGGTCCAAAACATCAGGCTGTAGGCAGAGACAGAGTTATGTTAACAAGGACAGAGCTACGTGCATTTGTAGATTAAGCGAAGAGCATCAGCTGACCTCTGACACTCGTCAAGCACGAAGGCCCTTGGGTGGTCGTCTCCAGACATGGTGACCACGACGTTCCGATCGACAGCGCCCCAGCGGCTTTGGTCCACAGTGTGACGGGTGATGGTTGAGGTGGTGAAGCTGGTCCAGTATAACATATCCCAGCCCCTGTGGTATGCCAGACCTTCCACAGAGCCCACATCTGAGAAAGAATGGAGGAGACAGGGTCAGCATGTCAGTCACAGGTTATATTCAAATGATGGATGGATGAATGGATGGCTTGATTGATGGATGGACGGATGTTTGAATGGACGCTTTCATTTAATTTCCAAAACTTATTAAGACCTGAAAAACTCCTACATTGTAATGCCATGTTTTCCAGGATTCTGCAGAAACACTGTTTATAATACTGAAAGAAGTCTCTTCTCTGGGCTTGTTGTGACCTCACTGAGTCACTCCTCCCAACAACCCAGCGAGGCTCTCTGCCAGATGAGACACATCTTCAGTCTAACACCAGACATGATTCACTATTTCTGTTATGAATGTTGAAGTTTTGAGAAAAGCAATGCTGCTGGGAAGTTGAGAAACTTGCCAATCGACTCCTTGATTCATAAACCACTGCACAAAAAATCAATGCAAATATATTTCACTTTTTCCCATGTCATTTTTCTTTACAGCTTTAAATAAGTTGCAAAACTGTAACTTCTATTGCTTTAACCAAACCTTCCTCACCTTTTTGATGACCCCAAAGCTAAGTATCCATACATTTGTTGTATTACTCACATAGATGCCTTCCCTAATGGTGGCTTTTCTGACACGGATTGGAAGGTGGCTGCCTGCAATAGGTGTTATAGCTTCCTCACTGTTTGCTATCAGACTGGAAGTCAATAATTAGCCAGATTTTTGCAGGCGAACTTAGTTTCACTGACTCTTCTTGTTTGTTTACAGTATCTATGCATGTTTTGTACATGCATGCACAAGGACAACGCTTCTAAACAATCTTATCCTTTCAGATAAGGTGCTGATATGATGAAGCATGGGAAAAAAACTTTTCTAGGCCCCATTAGGTCCTCCCACAGAGAGCCGACCAACCCATTTCTGGCGTGATGTCTCATAATCAGTCCAGAGTTCACTTGCTACTTATTCGCTTACTGTCAAGCTTTTGACCGGTCTCCATTCACCTGCTGCCAACCTTTTTGGGATATCCCTCTCTCTCCCACGAGCAGGGGGTTGTGGATCAATATGTGGAGCTGCAGGCTGCTGTGAGGTGTCAGGAAATTACAGATCTCAACTGGCAGCTTACATTTCATCTCAACAGGATAACAAATAGGGGCAGAAGAGCAACTGGGGGTGTCTAAGCTTCTACAAAGGCATCACTGTACCAAGCTGACTGGAAGGTACATGGATAATAGATGCAACAATACACAATTGTGTCATGTCTTGATGGGAGCATATAAAGATGCAGGTGTTTATCCAGGTTTAACAATCACCTTCTCCTCTGAAAACCGGCTGGTAATTGTCAGCAACCTTTTGGTTGAATGTCTGGAAATCTGTGTGATGTTATTTCTCGGCAGACTGTTATTGACTATGAGTAATCATTCCTGTATTTATTATCAGCTGTTTTATGACTGGTTGAGCGAAAAGACCAAACAAAGCTAGCTTCGGTGAGTCTTATCAGTGTCAGGATGACCGGAACTGAGGACGGCATGCTGAACTCTTCAGGTTCCGATGGTTTGCTGGGGAACAGCAGCAACGCTGGGATGACCAGTGTGGAGCAGATCCTCGTCCCCATACTGGATTCACTCATTCTAATTCTGGGAATTACTGGACACACTTTAGTGATGGTGATACTGTGTGGACGGCAGAGGAGGGGTTTAGGACAAGCCCCCCGGGGCTCCATGATGAACACAGGGACGGACATACTCCTGCTGGCTCTGAGTGCGGCAGATCTGCTTCTGCTTTTCACAATTCCCTTCCAAACCGTTTCCATAGCCATGCAGAGGTGGCCCTTTGGGAACGTCATGTGCCGTCTGGTGGGCTTCTTGGGTTCTGCCTGCTCATCTGCCAGTGTCTTCACCTTGGCGGCTCTGGCTGTCTCCCGTTACCTGACCGTGGTGAAGCCCACCAGGGCGTACAGTTTGCTCACCCCCCGCAGGGTCTCCATCATCGCTTTCCTGATTTGGGTTCCAGCCTGCTGCCTTGGAGCCCCTCAGCTGGTTTTCCGCTCTGTGGGACCCCCTCGACAAACCCCTGACGGCCTTGCCTGTTTTGCATTCCTGTCCCAGCAGCAGCAGATGATCTATGGAGTATTTCATTTCCTCGCAGCCTTCATGCTTCCACTCATCACCATCGCAGTGGCATACGGCAGCATCTATGTGTTCCTGTGGCGGGGCCAACATGCCGGCAGGACCCCTCAATTAGAGCGCTATCAAAGCAAAGTGACCCAAACAACAGCCATGCTGGTGCTGGCTTTTACTCTGTGCTGGCTGCCCTCATATGGACTGACTCTGGCCTTACTGGCGGATAACAACTCGGGGGCAACAGGGGCCACGCCGCGTTACGGTGCCTTTAGTGTGTTTGCACGCCTAATGGCAACCTCCTCCACGGTAATGAACCCCTGCCTCTATGTGCTGATGTCCCAAAAGTTCAGACAAGATCTGCTGAGAATTTTCAAGATGAAGCGTCGAAAAGTAAAGACCAACGTGGCGATGTCTGCAGTCTGACTCACCCAATGAAAAAACTAACTTAATGAGCTCTAGATCCAATGTCTCAAAGCAGCAATCTGCTGAACTTGAAATATTAAGCCACTGTGTGACGGTCCCAAAGGTTGGGACCTGTGTCAGGTTGGGTTGTAAGAACAGTAGGAAAAACTCATTTTGAATCACACTTCCCAGGCAGAAAAGACAAAGAAAACACCATAAGAAAACTGCAGGGGGACACAGTGAACATACTAAGGAATGTGCCCTGAAACCTGACAACACATCACTCTGAGCTAAAACATCCCTGTATTGAAAAAGGGTGGTTGTAGTATCATGCAACATTTGAGTATTGATACTTTTTGGAGTACTGATATTTTTGTCTCTTTTGAAATATAACCATATTAATGGATTGTTTTGTTAACTGATGCATGAGATTTGTTGACCAGGCTAGCTACCATCAGCAGTACAAAGACCTCTTATCTCAACAGCACAGCAATTAGTTTAATAAATAATGTTGAGTGGTTGAAGTATGTGACTTATAGATATAAATTATAAGAATTGAGGAAAACAAATGTTGCTTTTGTTCTTATTTTACTACTTTTGTAATGAAGAAGGTTTACAAACATGGTGGCCATATTGGATTTGAGTTTGGGGTTGGTAACCCACTTGAACCTCTGACTATAAAACTGTAAATATCAGATTCAGAATAACAAGGAAGCATGAAATTAAACTGCGTTATCTGACTAATTATACAAAGCTATGGAATAATAACTAAACAACCTGTTTACGGCAGCCTAATTTCTGTCAGTGAGCCCCAGGGCAGCTGTGGTTACAATGCGGCTTGCCACCATCAGTGTTTGTGTGAATTGGTGAAACACTGAATGTAATGTAAAGTGCTTTGGTCCAGTCTCCTGACTATGTAAATATGGGCCATTTACCATATTTACTTAGGCGTTGTCCTTGCAATAAGATTTGAGACAACAATCATATTCACGAGTAAATGACCTGTTTAAAGTCCAAACTTATATCTAGTTTAAAAAATTGTGTTAACAGACATTTTTTGTCCAATCTTACTGAGCTATTTTGCGACACAAATCTTCATTTATTTTTCATTTATTCTTTAGTCATAAGAAGTCCTTTGGGTGTGGATGGTTATAAGCACAGTAGGAGAACCAATTCTCAATCACATTCCTTGTAAAAAGATGAAAGGAAAAGCACTTTGGTAAAACATTAACACAGCACCTGTGTTTTGTTGCGCCGAGATAAGGTAAAAGAAGGTCTACTTGTCCCTGGACCTGTTTATGTTCCTGCCCATTCTGTTCTCGAAGCACGGATCAAAAGAAATTGCTCTCTTTTTTCATTTTGGGTTTGGCAACGACTTAAGAAGAAAGATTTCCTGGTTCTGTTTAGATAAATGGGAGTTTTTGTCAAAATTCATGCAGCTCTCCTCTTCAGGAAGATTTCTCATCAGGGGGTTGATGTTTAAACAGAGGCCCACCTTTTTAGACTAAAGGAAAGAGACACGGGGGAAAATGGTTTTGGCAAATAACAGGGTTTGTGTCTTGGAGGAGAGTGTGGGAAAGCAAAAAGATAAATAGAGAAAATAGCAAGACCTTGCACATGTAGCCTCACCCTCAAACGTCTGTGTATTTATCCTGTTAAAAACATAAACTTATACATATTTTCATGCAGATTTTATTATAGAAACCAGGAGAAAGCTGTGACATGCACCAGTTTCCTTCACTCATGCAGCTAGATAATGTCTAGCCCAACCAAAAGCCTTCTATGTCAACTAATACGCACTGATACTAACATGGATCCATGTATTCAACCAACAGGGATCCATGTATTCAGTAAAGGCCTCAGAGTTTGGTCATAGAATATAGGTGATCAAACACCATCAGAAACACCAAGGACAGCTGATAAAGTCTGTCTCTAAATATAGTAAGGCTAGGATGCAAGGGTTTAGGTCTGAGTCTGAAACCTGCAACTAAGATGCCCTACAGGGAGTAACAATTATTATGGCCAAAAGTTATCAAGGCTGGAACTGTGTTTTAAATATATAAATGCAGTGAAAAGAAGAAAAGTTTCTGAAGTTTTTTTTTGCTGTTGTTGTTTTCTGGGGGGGGAGTTTTCATGAAATATCAATGCAAATTATTTCCACAACTAAATAACCCTTCTAGTAAACCAGGTAATTGTCAGTCTTTTGTTTAGCTGAAACAAGGTGAAAAGTAAAATTTTTCTTTTAAGCTTTCTAAATGGGGTACTATATGGCCTCTCTGACATTTTTGTTTTGGGGGCACACTTAATTGATTGTGAACATATTTGTGTAGATGGTAAAGACTGCTAAACTTAGGTTAAGGTTGATGAATAGATGTTGATTACTATAGTCCTGTCGAGACATAAGTTGCTCTCAATCAGTTCTGCCTCAGCCTATACTAATTAACAAAGGGAAATGCGTAGAAATTCCAGGCAATAGATGCACAAAGCTATTAGAGACAAAAACCAAAACACATGTAGCTGAAAAATGATTGATTGATATTTGCCAAATTTATAAAATGATATATACCTCTCCATCTACTTTGCACAAGTGCACTTATACACTACTTTGTGTTGCTTTGTCATATGACACCTAAATAAGATCCACTGAAGTTTGCTGGTTATGTTTCAAAATGTGAAAATGTTTATGAGGTATGACTGTAAAAGGTTGGGTTAAAGATCCAAAACCAGAGATGAAAAGTGGGAAGAACTCACTCTCTACAATGGTTCTGCGGTCCAACCCATCATCGCTGATCTGCTGGATGTTACCGAAGTGAATGTCGCTGAAGAAGATGCGGTTTGCTCCTTTACCGCCTCCTCCTCTATAATCAAATGTCAGCGCTATGATGTTCTTCATGTGATCGGGATCTTCAAACGGCTTTATGGGCGCGTTCAGGTTGTTCTCGTCCGACAGGTGGACGCTCTTTAGTATGGTGCGCTCCGAATAGAGAAGGTATCCGTCATAGTCGCGGCATCGGCAGCCATCTTCCGCTAGCATGCCATGAGCGCAGGCGCATGTGCGCTGGCCGTTGCCACGGTAAAGACAAAGCTGCTCGCAGCCGCCATTTTTCACTTTGCAAACATTTGTTCCTGTGAAAGATGGCAAAATGAGAAACAGTTTTTAGGAAAAAAAATCAAATTATAGATACTTTTATTCTTTGGTTTTGCTTACCTTGCTGCCTGGCTCTGTTGAAAACCTTGATATCTTTAAGCTGCACCCCAATACCAGTTCTCAGAGAGACGGATTCTGTTGCATTATCTTTACTGCCTCTCTTAATAGAACCATTAGCATGTGTCCTGTATATAAAAAGGAAGAATCGAACAAGAGTTGATGAATGAAAATATGAAGAAAAACATCCTGAGCAGCTGTGACGTATCTGACCTATCACTCCAGTAGATGTAGCTCTCAAACAGAGAAACAGAGAACATGTCCATGTTATTGCTGGCCAGCACCACCTCCCTGTTTTCTCCAGTCTCCAGGTTAATTCGCTCAATCTTGTCTGTCCTGGCATCACACCAGTACAGCAGACCCTCCTATGGACAAAAACAAAGTAATCATGCTCCCTGCACTTCAAATATAAGCTGATCATTAGTTGCGGCCTACCTTATAGTCAATAGAGATGCCGTTGGGCCAGCTAATACTAGCGTTGACCAGAATGGCCCTCTGTGAACCATCCAGGCGAGAGCGTTCAATGCGGGGGTACTGACCCCATTCTGTCCAGAACAGGTAGCTGCATCCAAGAACATGCAGGGAAAGAGAAACACTCTGAGATGGCTTCATTTCTAATCAGTACATACAAATCTATAGATGAGGTGGTTATAATGCACTGTGTGTATTCTTTTAGAAGCCTCACCCTTTCTCAGGATGTACTGTGATGGCGCGCGGCTTGTCCAGGCCCTGGGAGATCACCACATAACGGAAGGAGCCATTCAGTCGAGCCACTTCGATCACATCAAAACCTTGGTCGGTCCAATAGATGTTTCCTTTTGTTGGATAGAGGAGAAACATTGATCCATAGACAGATCTTTGGGCAGGATGTAACTATGTATGATGGAACACTTTTCAAATCTATTATCTCTGCCATCTTATTCAGCCGGAGAAAAGTCTAGTCTTTTTTATCTGTCTCCTTTTTATTGCAAGGTTGTCATATTTTGTCCCTAAAGAGAGCTGAGTCAACTTAAAATAAAAACATAATGCCATGATAGCAGGGTTTATTACCCACCCTAAGTGAACTTTTAAGCTATTCCTTAAAATTCAACCAGAGTATGGTTGCTAACAGGGATGAATATTATTTCTCCACTTTTCTTCAAGAAGTTATTAACAAAAAAAGATTTTGCAAACATTTTTCTAACAACTGTGACATATTTGCCTTTTCTGTGCATTTGAAGCTATATTATAGATAAGGCATCCAATTTTGTCATTTTAAAAAATCTTAATTTTTCCTTATATTGTTGTTTTTTTTCTTTAAAACGATATTCATAAATAAGAGACTGCAACGGCTGCTGCAGCTTCCTCTCTGTCTGCATCATGCTATTTGCATACTGCAGGAAATCACAAAACCTAACTAGAGCATGAGTCAGAAAAATTCAGGACATAGAGAAGCACTATTTCTTTAAGTTTTGTCCTCACGGTAAACTTAAAGAAGATACCACCAACTAAGCACAGCTTACCAAAGCACAGCAAAAATGCTACCATTAGGCTAAAACTTTAGCAATCTGCAAGAGCGTAATTTCCATGGAGGGATTAAGGGGATTATGGCCCCTATCCAATCAATATCATCCCAATATATAAAAAAAAACCCACATTACTAATTATTTATAAAATTATCTCACATAACTGACAGATTACTTTTATTCATTTTCAATTGCTAGTGAAACAGTAATTTCCCCTATGCTGCCCAAAACTAGGTCCCATTCAGCCCATTTACCAAGCATTAACTGTTTGCTGTACTTTTGACACAGTCGCTAGTGCTAGTGGTTGGCCTGTGAAACCATGAAAAGAGGCATAAAAAGCAGAAATAAATATTTTTTAACTTGTGACTATTTTTGATATAGCACAAAATCTCACAACAGAAGATATTTAGAACTACGTCTCTGCAAAAAAAGATGCATTAAGCTCAAAACTAAAAATAGGTTTTCCATTTTAACAAAAAGCATTTTCATTTTTCTTGTTTTCCCTATGATCATTGTCTGCTTTACTTGACCTGACTATGAGTCAAAAAGGAAAGAAGACATAACAATAGCTCCTTTCATAACATTGCACTTTGGCTTAGTGCTGTTCATGAATAACACAATGCTTGCGAAGACCTCAACCCCCCTAAAGGGAGACCCAAAGTTACGCCATCGACATGGTTTGAGTCTCACTGACATTATGGTTGAGTGTTGGATGAGGTATATGATAACAAACCATGGATACACTAGCTTTAATGTGATAGGATTGGTGCAGCGTACAGCAACTGTTCTGCAGAGGGTTTTGCTTCAAGTAGGGCCCTCAATGCCCTGAGGAACTGACTCCAGCAGCAGCACCACCTTA